ACTTATTTAATTTTCATTTCCCCAATGGCTAGTGGTGTTGAACATATTTTCATGCACTTGTTTGACATCTGGTGAGATGTCCATATCTTTTATCAATTTTTTCAGTTAAGCTTTTTATTGTTTTTATTATTAGAGAGTTCTTCGTGTAATCTGGATGTCGAGTCCTTTGTTAAATATGTGTAAATATTTTTCTCTACATTGGCAGCTTGTCTCCATCCTTTTGACCACAGCAAGTTTTTGGTTTTAATTGAAGTCTAATTTAGTGATTCTTTTTTTGTGTGTGTGGATTGTTTTTGGTATCATGGCTAGCAACTGTTTATGTAGTCTAGGTCTTAGAGATTTTCTTTTGTATTCTTGAGATAACAATGAAATTTAGGTTGTGCTTCCATTTTTTTTTTTTTTTAACCTATGGGTGTCCAATTGTCCCAGCACCATTTTTTGAAACTACTTAGTTGTTTTATTGCTTCTTTGCCTTTGCTCAACTAAAACTGTCCATACTTGTGTAAGCCTTTCTGGGGTTAGTATTATGTTCTGTTGGTACAAAACTTCCCATCACTTTGAAGGAAATGTGTTAATAAATTTATGATCAATTTGGAGAGAGTTGACAATTGTCCAATCCATGAAAAAAATACTACAACAGTACTGGCTAGTCACTTATTCAGATCTTTTCTTTCTTTCAGTATCATTTTTCAGTCAGTCAGTCCTATTCACATTTTTTTTTAATATTTAATTTACATTTTAGTTTTCGGCAGACACAACATCTTTGTTTGTATGTGGTGCTGAGGATGGAACCTGGGCCGCACGCATGCCAGGTGAGCGCGCTACTGCTTGAGCCACATCCCCAGCCCCCCATACGCATTTTATTAGACTTATACCAATGTATAATCCCCAGATCTTTTTTTTAATTTTGAGACAGTGTCTGTCTTGCTAAGTTGATGAGGGTCCCACTATGTTGTGGAGGCTGGCATTCAACTCGGCAATTCTACTTCAGCCTCCCGAGTTCATGAGGTTACAGGTTTGCATCATTGTGTCTGGCTGATCGATGATCTTGATACTGTTGGTTGTGGGGGAAGACCAAAGAAACCTGAGGCCATATGCTGAGGAAGTTTATTAAAAGACTAGTTTGAGCCAGCCAGGTGC